CAAAGCAACTAGAAAAAGGAAATATCAACGACTTTCTGGTTTCACGTGTTTATGCTAAAAATCCATACGAGCCAAATAAATAAAAAAAAATTGTATATCTAAAGCTAAATACAGAAGACAGTTGATAGGTCTGCATTTAGCATATATATAGACAGCGTGTACAAAATTAACTTAACTGAATAAACAAATTTCGATGTAGCACCGAAAGTAAATGCTTGTGAAAATAAAGTATCAAGATACAACAAGTGAATTGTACAATATAATAACATCTGCACATAAAATAAATTCCTTTGTTATTAATATACGTTTAGAAATTAATATCAAATTGGATACGAAGACATAATAAAATCAATAAATTGTAAATCGATTATGTGGGAAGATGATGCTAATTTATTCTTCTGAATTATTGAGCAGTAAAGCTGTTTAAGATACTAAAAATAAATATATAAACATAGGCTCACTGTGGTAAGATAGAACTAAAAACGCTATATATATATATATCCGTGTATATTCCAGTTATATATAATTATCTACCAGAACATTAATTTTACTAAAGGTCTTTAAAAATGAGTCATTCATATTAATCAACAAGTATGTGACGATATAATATCTACTTTACTTGATAGAGGTCGCTGTAATCAGATAATTTATATGACGAGAAGCGCAGTAATGACTTCAGTGCTAAATTAGCCGTTTTGATGAATGCTCACCTCTATAAACTTTACTACTTTGATAGTGAAATCTATTTTTTGTTATTAAGCATAAAACTATACAAAGGGCTGACTGTAATTTGCTGACCGCGATTATCGAAACCCGTTTTTTAATGTTATAAGCCCGCAGACTTACCACTGAGCCACCTGCAGGCTAGTATGTGTGACCAAAGCTTGAGTGGATATTTTTTGCGTCCTTTGATGTTGAGAAATTAAAGCGTTTCCCTCTGCTAATTGACGAAGTACATGTGTGACAATAATAAATGTAACCTTTTCAAAATCCCCCCCCCCCAGTGACACAGCGGCATGTTTGCGGACATACAACGCTAGAAACCGGGGTTTCGATACCGTGGTGGGCAGAGCACAAATAGCCCATCTAGTAGTTTTGTGCTTAACTTCAAAACAAATAAACAAACCTTTTCACAAATCTGATTTTATTATTTATTACTTCTTATAAGCATTCAGACTAATTAGGATTTTTACTGTTTGCTTCTTTTTACTCTAAAATGTTTAAGTGCATTTATAGTTAATTTTCAGATATTTGCGAAATTCGGGTCTCTTACTCATCAAAAACCTTAAATCTTCATATTGTGTAATTTTATGGATTCCAGTAGTGATGTGTTGCGTGAGTGTGTAAATGTAAGAAATAAGACAGTCATAATCTGTGGAAATAGCGTTGTTCAGTTCATCATTACTAATTTTATCTCTGTACATATATATAAAACAACAAACCTTTAATTATTAGAAATCATGTTTCCAGTGGGGTTTCGTAAGGTGAATCTTACTGTTGGAAATTTAATGTTGCAGATGCTATAAAGACTTAGATCCTAGATTAGTAAATCATGTGCTTTAGTCAATAACCAACGACGAATAATGCTTTATCTTTACTCTCTCTCTCTCTTTTTTTTAAGATATTTCAGGTTTATATGGAAAGGCTGCTTACAAGTAACACGTTGTAGGTAATTTAAATTTACTACCAACGTCTGTGGAATTTAGATTAAAATTGGTTTGAATAAACTTAAGTTCTCTTGGCTATAAGATATCATATTGCAACATAAAGTGAACGAAATTCTTTGTTTAATATATTAGTTGTAATTCCTCTATTAAAGTTAATGGTGTCGTAGTCCTTTTAGTTCTGTGTCTCTTTTACTGTGACTAAGGAAATGATGTTTAATGGGTTGAGATAATTAAAGATTCCTGGAACCTTTGGATTTTTGAGAAACGTTACCTTCTGTTTTAATTCTGTCAATTAGTCCAAATTAATAAATAGTTATAAGTTTGGTCATCAGTAGTTTTTTTGTTGTTGTTGTTGTTGTTGTTGTTTCTTCTACCGCTGTTCTGTTAACTAGTGGAGCAGGAGATCATTTCAAACAAGCAGTTTTAATAATCCAAGAGTTAAAAGCTCATCAAATTCAACCCCGCTTTTGTCAAGTTATATTTAAATGTGTTTGTCGTATTGGATTGTATGGTGCATTAAAGCATGTCTATTGATTAAAGAAATAGAACAAAAACGTGTTTGAGTCAAGTTTAGTTTCTTAAATAACTTTTTTTTACAAAAAATAAAAAATGGGTTGTTTAAACTGATGGCTTAGTACATTTCCAGTAAATTTTCCCCCAAGCAATCTTGTTTGTAATTTAAAATGTCTCACGTTTCACATAAACGAGGTGTCGGCTGATGATCTGGAACTAGACACTTAGTCTCATAATATCGATTTTGGACACACGTTGCCCACCCCAAGGGCCGGCCCTAACACTTAGTCTCCAAATTTTACCTCTTTTTAACCTATGTGCGATCTAAATAAAGTAGTCTTCTGTAAATGTTTCTAAATTAATCTATTTTATAATTTTTCTGTGTTTTAGTAAAATGTGACACACGGTTGTCTTTAAATAGTCATTAGTCGTTTATATGCTGAATCTTTAGGCAATGATCAAAGTTATTGGACTTAGACTCGCTTATCTAGCGAGTTGTCAGGCATTACAACACCATAATGCAATACAAGGGCTTGAAAAACAAATATTATTATTCAAAATACCTAAATCTAGAAGGTTATCAAGGTTTTCCCACATTTATGTCGTCTTTAAGTTTGTTTTTATTAGGATAAGAGAATTTTTTTTTTTTAGCTTTCGAAGTAATATAACATTTTTCATTAATATTACAACCCTTCGTTCTTGAGTTTTTCTCAGAAATAAAGGTAATAGGATATTTCAACTTAATTTTGATTTAAATTGCGTACTTTTAGCTTGTTTCAAGAAAATAGGTTTTCATCAAAAATACCAAGCCTTGATATTTTTCAAAATTTTCAGGAAATATTTTATTTTCATATTATTGGATTAGAAAGATGCACATGATACGTGCCTTTCAAAATGGAACTCTTTCCACCAAAACTCCCAATATTTAAGCCTTGATTTGTTGTGAAAACTTCGCTTCTCGTCGATTTTACTATCCTTTTCAGGAAAAGAGAGTTAATAAAGGGCTTCAAAACAAAGAATTTTCGTTTAAAATTCCTAAATCTAGAAGGTTATTTCCAAATTTAATCAATCTTTAAGTGTTTTTTTTTACTCTGGATAATAGAAATTTGCTTTTTCTTAGCTTTCGAAGCGATATGATATTTTTCATTAAAGATCTAATGCTTTGTTCTTAAGCTTTTCTTAGAAATAAAGATAATCTGAGATTTCGCACTTAATTTTGCTTTAAATAGCGCACTTCTTAGCGTTCTTCAAAGTATTATTCAAAATTTTAGTATAAATATTATTACATTAGAAGGATGCACTTGATGTGGTCTTTCCAAAATGGAACTGTTTTCACAAAATTTTTAATACAATATTTAAGCAGTGAGGTGTTAAAATTTCGGCTATCCTCAATTTTACTATACTTCTCAAGAAAAGAGAATTAATACCAGGGCTTGAAAAGGAGGAGTTTTTATTCAAAATACCTAAATTTAGAAGGTTATCAAGGTTTTTCTCCAAATATAGTCCATATTTAGTTTTCGATACCCAGGGTGGGCAGAGCAAAGATAGCTTATCATGCAGCTTTTTGTTTAACTATAAACAAATAATGAAAATACTTCAAAATGGGGAATTTTCAATGAAAATTTCTAAATCTAGGATGTTATTATGATTTCTTTCTAAATTTAGTTTAACTTTGATTTTGTTTTGTTTTTCTGAATCAGAAAAAAATACTTTTTTTAGCTTTCGAATTGATATATTATTTTTCGTTAACTTTATAATGCTTCGTTCTATAGTTTTTCTTAGAAAAATTGGAATAACGTGCCTGACGGTACAGAATGGATATCATACTTTCCAGGCTCTCACTCTGCTACCATAATAAATGATATTAGACCAGATCATCACAAACTATTAATTAGAATCTTCAACCAAGTAGAAGATACACTTCCTAAACCCAACAATGAACTTATATTTACTCATGATTCGTTCACCCGAAAAGTAATCGTGCATGTAAATGTTGGAACTTCTATAATACTCGATACTGTACTATGAGTAATACTTGGATTTATTCCTTTTCTAACACTTGTAGTTTTGTTAATAGGAGTTAGAAACATTCAGTTCATGGGGTCTAATTGAGTAGAAAAGTATTCAAGAATTGTACACTGACTGATATCTACTAGACTTGAATGGAAGTTAATTTAATCTTGATAAATAAGTACTGTATAGTCCATTCATGTCTCAATTTGTGTTATTCCTAAAATATATGTTTTGAAACGCAAAAATAGTCGATAAACTAGTTTTCTGAGTCTATAAACTGAAATCTTGCATGATAAATCTAATTAAATGATATGAAGAAATCAAATATTTTGTCACGAACTTTTTATATCGTTATCCTAAAAACAATCAGTAAAATAAGAGATGCACCGAATGTCTCTGACTTACTTTCACAGGACGTCACTAACAGGATTAGAAATAAGCTAAATGTATGTGTTCCTTAGAATTTGCCTAAGTCGAAAAGTTCTTCCTAATAACATAACATAGTGGCAGACTATAAGCAATAGGGTCAAAAGTTATATTGTCCAAAATTCCAGCACAAAGTGGATAGTGAATTCATTTATGGATTTTTAGTGCATGATATGTTTTGTAGAGTTCCTGAGTGAAGAAACGTTTTATATTTTATTGAAAGAGACTTGTTATATATGATCACTTACATGGTAGGACACTTGGATATACTGTAAAATTAGCTTCTTCGTGTTCTTCAAATGAGGATTTGTCCAGACGAGAGATATTAATATGAAAAAAATGACTTTCTTTAAACAATTGAGATTTAAAGGTTCTTTTCAGGGCCATCACATCCTGAGAAAGAGAAAGCCATGTTTATACATACCACCTCTACTGATGAAAATATTTCTCACTTCTAATATATCCATGAAATATACTTTCGAAAGTGCTCGGGTTATAGGGTTTTATTCATTTCTATCAAGACTTCTTGAGCCTACGTATTTTTCTATCATGAATAGACGAAACTCGTATTACTCAACATTGTGCATAAGGTTTCAAATCAGCAAGAAACAAGCTCTAGACAAAGATTCTTGAAAGGTAAGGATATAATTTTCAACAATAGTAATGGTTCAAACATGATTATTGACATAAATCTACTGTATATCATTTAGAGGTTTAAGTAAGTGTCATTTTCAGGGTAGATAGATAGAAACAGTGCTTCAAAAACGGTTGTTTAAAGAATAACACACCTGTAGAACCACTGTACAAAACACTTTGAATGTTAGTTATTAATAACATGTGATCTGTCCTTCAGTATCTATCACGGCCGAAGGTATCACGATGTATGTTGTTTTTTTCTCATGATGATGATGAAGCAGCTGAAAATACTGTATTTGTCATATTGATACAGAATACAGTTAAAAACAAAATCGTGGCAGGGATTTAGTTTTTTAAGGAAAGATAAACTTTCCTAAACTGGGGTGTTATTGATATCCCCCTTTGCCCGCTCACGAAAAAAGAAATTCTGCTAAGTTCGTGGGATTAAAAGAAATTTCAGTCAGGTCGCATCTGCTAATTTGGCTGGTATGAAGATTTTAGAGATTTCTGGAAGTCCATGAGGCAGAGAGAAGACCAAAGCTGATGAATATGATGATGACGACGTTAATGAGAAGAAATAAGGCGACAACACTCGACAAATCATATCTCAATAAATGCCCTATAAACAGGGTCACCTAGTGACTAGCATCTATAAATCCAATGCAATGGCTAGGATAAAAAAATCCAAGAGTGCGAAGGAATTTGTTGTGGGGGGAAAATGGGAAATCCACGAGAAAACCCACTTTCACAGGACAAGCGCCGAATGTCCTGTACCCAGAGCTGAAATTGGAACAACAAGAATGGGTTAGAAAGAACTTTAAAGTGTATTTAAGTTTATTTCATAGCTAAGTATTCGTTGTATGAGGACATTGTTTTGTATGAAGAACTTATCATCGTGTGGAGGGTAGCAGTTAAGGGGGTTTCTTTTCTCTGCTTTACTGTAGTATCTAAATGCTAGGGATGATAATATTTCATGGATTGTTTGTATATTGTATGTTTTGTATACGTTACTTGTAGGGGTAAATTTTGGGAGTCTTAAGACTAATTTAAGGACTCTGTTCTGTTGGAGATGTAGCTTGTTTTTGATTCTAATAGTAATGTTGAAGGTGACTTGGCACCCATACTCAGTTAGAGGGCGTATGTAAGCTAAGTAGATTTTCATTATAGTTGGTGGTTTGCAACCTTTATTCTTGTCTGCAATTATCCTTAAATGTGTGATACATTTACTAATAGATTTGTGAATGTTTCTGAAATGTTCAGCCCATGTAAAGCGACTGTCGAAGGTTGTACCTAGAAACTTGGCTGAGGGGCATAATTTTATTTCAGTATTGTTTAATTTTAGTTTGACTTCTTAACATTTTCGAAATGTTTATTAAGGCTATGTCGAAATATAATTCCTGTTGTTTTAATTGAATTAAGTAATACCCTCCAATTGTTACACCAATTTACTATAGTGTCAAGAGATTTGTGAAGTGTAATGTGGTGTGGGCACTTGTTCTCTCTCAGCTGTTAGTTTTAGTTCAATTCTATACGGCACACTTTTTTTAACAATACAGAGATGTTTTAGGTTAGATTTATAAATAAAAGCTGAAATGTTCACGTTTTTAGATTAAAATTTTTATTCTAAACTTCGAAGACGTGTACAAATGTAATTGGAAAGGTAAGATATTTTACAAAATGTGTTTCAGAAAAGACTGTTTCATAATGATTGTAAAAATCAGATTGAAAGTCCAAACTTATTGGAAATATTAGGTGAAGACAAAATTGCTGAAACATTGTGATTAAAGGAATTTCCAATAAATGGTAGAGAGGTTACTGCAAGTAAAAAGAAAATGGAATGATATTACATGGAAATGAATTGGCCAATTAGTACTAATGTCTATGATTTTAAAACCATGTTAGTGCCTTTTACTGAAACTCAGATTTTCTTAATGGATCACCATTTAGAAAGAAAGTGATACCACCTATGAAGTGCCACGTTATATATCACTGTATATGTGTTACAACGGTGTGTGGTATGATTCAGTTTGTAAAGAGTCAAATCTTTAACCCAAGACAAATGGATTAATTTGGAATCAGTTATTACATATAGTAATACTTCTAAATGAAACTTATCACTGCGAATATGTTCATGACAAGAGAGGTATTCCAGAGCAGAAAGTTAGACATTCCATGCTGTTTATGCTATACTGTTTAGGCAGGAACTTCTCAACATCTGTGCAAATAAAAAAACAGACTTGTATGAAAGGTAATATGTTTTTCAATACTTATGTAAACGTTCATGAATAGCTAAATTTTGTTTTACTGACTGTTAGCCCTCAATGACATACAAAATCCGTTCTTCAATTTTAAACCAGATAAAACAAACAGAATAAGAAACTACATCTAAATGCTAACCCTTGGATGAGTTTGAAGAACACGACTCCAAACTGTAAGACATTGGACAATGCTGTTAATTCTTTATGTGTCTAAACCATTACATATTCAGGAAGTTAGACTTCTGTATAGATCTTGGTGAGTTATACTTAATTCCAAATATGTGATTTCTGTATTGTTATGTAAAGTGTGTTTTACTGACTGTTAACCTTAGTGACATACAAAATCCGTTCTTCATTGTTAATTCAGAGTTATGTATATTAATCTTTCCATGTCATAATAACATTGTTTGAAGATGAAGCAAGAGAAATCTCATAAGAGAAAGTTATGTATATTTCATGTATACAAATATCAAAATCCTTATTGTATGAAGAATAACAAATGTTTTTAAAATTGAAGATATTGTCAGGGTGATTTACATTATGTAGAAGATGGTAATCTTCTTGTATCATAATAATCTTGTTTGTAGATCATATGATAAAACAAAACAAATCTCACGAAAATATTTTATGTATCATACTCATGAAGATATTTTGTCGTAATAATCTTGTTTGTAGATGTAATAAAAGAAATCTCATGAATATATAGTTACTTAGTCTTATACATTTTCACGCCCCTAGAATAGATTATTTTATCGCCTAGCAACACGCCCCTGGTGTATCAGATAAATGAGATACATATTAGGTCAATACCCTCAGAATGTGTCGAAGGTCATGTTTGTTTACTTCGGGCTCCAGACGAACTTCTAATTTAAGGCACTATAGTTAATGTCGAAATTGAATGAAGGTTATGTTTTTTTACTTTCAGTGTTGGGGACGGGTCAATGCCCTCGGTACGTGTCGAAGGTCATGTTTGTTTACTTCCGCCGCCATATGGAAGTCCATACTACTACTGCCCCTTCAACGAAAAACAACAACTTTATTTTTAATTAAAATAATTTTTATAAAAGCAAACATAGAAATTTGTGTATCATTATGAAAATTTTATTTCGATCTTTTTCGTGTTCAAGTCCTTCCGCTTACTTCCATGGTGATCTGAAATGGCTAGAGCAACGTATTTTGAATGCATGAAACTTCTATATATATAGGTATAGTGAATGCCGTGATTAATCAGTACGTCTTCGAAATTAAAACTTCCAAATGCATCGTCTTGATGGATCACAATTTCCCGTCACCTTTGCTTTTATCAACGTGAAAATTACAAAATAAGTAAAGTAATCAAACCTTTTGTAGCGCTAAAGTGAGTTAAGACTGGTATATAAACTGTATAAAATGTAAATCATTCTATAATAGCACTAATATTTCCTCTGATGGAAGCAAAGATTGCTTGGATAAGTAAAGAAATATAATTATCCGCATCAAGAAATACATTCAGGTTATACAGGACTTTAAATTATGCGTTAAAATTCAACACTTTGTACCTCAGAATCATCTGTACGAAGTGCAACATTCTAGTTAAAAACACTTAACCTCAAAACAACCTGGTTAACAACATCATCAGTACGGAGTGCAAAGTTTTAGACCAAAACAACCTGTTTATAAATATTATTAGTACGTAGTATAACACTTCAGTTCACACAGTCTTTAAAATCATTACCCGTAAGAGTAAGTCCAAACAGTCTGTGAAAACCAGCACAACACTTCTATCGAAAATAGTTGTTTAAGAACGTTACCACCACGGTTGTTGGATGATTAAACAGTTCAAAATAAAATCATTCTTAAGCTCTGCTACTTTTACAACTTATCAGAGTAAATATGATTAACTTTCTTTCAGATTTCTAGCTACTCAAAGTTAGTCTTACGTCAAAATTCAGCTTCTAAGTATCATACAGATATAATGAATAACAAATAAAAAAAGTACTGTCAATGTATACAGTGCAACTATGTGTAAAACTCTCATAGAAATATTTTTAGTTGTACTTCTCAATTTCAAAAACTTATTATGCGAAACACTGTTGAAAAACAAATAACTATTGTGTTAAGAACTTATTTCAATTGATACTCTAAATAAATTAAATTATAATTGGAGCTTTAGTTTTTTTAATTAATTTTTCCTCGTTTAAATAGTCATCATAAAGTATAATTATTTAATCATATGGTTGGAGAAGTAGTAATACGGACTTTCTTTCAATTTGTTTTAAAAGCTTTTTAGGGTATTTTAATAACACAACGTTTTGGTTTTCTGTTTGATAAAATATATTACTGTGGTGACATACTTTAAAAAGTTATAAAATTAATTAACATGCTTATAATGTTTTCTTGATTCAAACAATTTAGTTTGCTTATTTGTTGCGAAGCGCAAAACTACACAATGGACCATGTCCGCTGTATCTATATTAGAGACTGAACCCAGTAATAAACCTTCAAGCTTTCCACCGAGTTCCAGGGCCCCAAGCATTTGAAAATTACCCTACATAATCTGAAAAGTGGAAAACAAAGTTTCTGACCCGTTCCAAAAATTACCAGCGTTGTCTTGTAATTTTTGTAATTATGCACAAAACTACACAATGGGCTATGTGTGCTCTGCCCATCACGAGAATCGAAACCCGGTTTTTAGCGTTGTAAGTCTGCAGACATACCACTGTGCTACTGGGGGGCTTGTCTTATAAAACGGGTACTTTGTATTCTACATTGTACATGAACGAAGTTTCCATATTTTTGTGGAATCAGTAAAATAGAAAACGAATTTAACGATATTGGAGTATTTAAAAGTCGTTTTATTTTCGCAATAAGTATAAAAAAACTTTTACATAACAGAAAGAAATCAATGACAAAAGAAACGTACAAAGTTGAAGCTTACGGTAGTGTTCTACAATTTTTAAACCTAACATATCATATTAGTAAAACAAAAATACAATGCTATTGAAACTTTTCTGATAAAACCAATACATTTTATAAGAATATTAGTTTGATATAAAAACCAAAAAAATAAAACGATCGCAGATTAAAAACTTTTTAAAAAGAATTTAGAAACAAATATCAAAACCTCCCACTTATGATTCGTAAAAAGAACTTAACACGTGACGAAGGTTTTTCGCTCTTAAAATCACAAGTTGATTAAAGAAGTATCGTCTTTGTCTTCTTCGTCGCCTGACAACATGCCGGCATGACTAAGAATAAGTTCTTCCATCACCGATAGGCGGCGCTTCATGGCTGGTGTCAGTGGAGGAATGCAGTTTCGAGGTACCAAGAAGGTAGACAAGTTGAAGAGATCCACAAACACTTTGTAGCGGTCACTGGAAACACAAGTGTAAGGAATACAATATAGCAGATTTTATATTAAGAAACACAATTTTTATCTTAACGCACACAAACAACATTATTAGTTAAAGTAAATTTTGTATGAACTAAAGATTAAAACAACTAGAGTGATAGCTAAATTTTGGGATGACTTCGAGCAACAACATTGAAAACATTTTCTACGAAATACGGAAGTATTAGTAATTTTAAAAAAGTGCTATTTTTTATAGAATTTATTAAAATAAAATATTAGCATAACTTAGAATAGATAACAATAGTAGGTTTGAAGCGATCTATAGAAAAACAAACCTCAGTGTGGAACGAAGATATTGATAACCCGAAGAGCCACCTGTGCCAAGTTGCTGGGATCCAATCATTCTCTGGACCATTTGCACATGATTATCTATGAAACACGAATTAAAATAGTTGTGTAAGCTAACTTGTCTTCATCCCCTCCCCTCGAAAAAAAAATGGCAGGTTCTAAACTTAATAATTGCAATACGACTCGTCCATCTTAGAAACAGAGCAGTTCGGAAATATTTTAATTAGCCCAGTGTTTCCTGTTCTTCATATGAAGTGTAGTTTCAAGTTACTAAGCTAATTATATCCTAATAAGATATCATCTTTTTGTCGCGTGTCACTATCTCAGAAATGTTTTTGAATACCTCACCATATCCACTAGAATATATATGCCTAAAATAAATTCGAAATTTTCCATTTAAACTCGAATAAATTCAATTTATGATCTAGAGTCACAATCTCGTTTGACATAAAATAAAAAACAGGGTCTATTAATAGAAAATAATCTGCTACTTATTTAGTAATAAGAGTATTTTTATTGAGATACATAGTTTCAAATAAATAAACGTTTTGAGGTATAGGAATATCTTACAGCGCCACTTGGTGATGAGAGAATCAATATCCATCAATAGTTTCAGTAAGTGATAGGGTTGATTAAATAGGGGTTCGTCCCGATAACAAGATATCATCATAGCTCCTTGAAATGCCTTATGGGTAAAACGACGCTCTCCTGAAAAAAAAAAACACAATAAATATAAGAGTTGCAAAATGAAATGAAAGTTCTGTTGGACAAAACATTGGATTTCAGTTAGGCCTTCTTTCGGTCTTGTTTTATCCGGTTACGATAACAAAAACGTGCATAGTTTTGGGGTTTCCTCATACATCAAACGTTTATGAGATATATTGGAAAGCATTATTCAATTTAAACACCATGTAGTTTCAGGTTATTTGTGACACACGTTCAACTTAAATTAATAATAATAAAATATCCATCCAACACTTCTTACAAACTAATGAATGACCTTTCAGAAAAATAGATAAATGTCACAAAGAAAATTGATCGTTATTATGAAAAAATCAACTTTCTAACATGACTTCATTTTAAGTTTATTTACTTATACGTGATTTATATACATTTGATTTGTTTGTTGCTGAATGGGCTGTTTTCGTTGTGCCCACCGCATGGATTGAACATCGAATGTTAACGTTATAAGCCCTAAAGTTTACCGCTGAACCACTAGGTGGGCTGTGTATTTGGATTAGTTAGCTTTACACTAGTCACCATTGATTCTAAAACAACCTGTTTAAATTCATTATGACTATAGAAAGCAACACTTTATTGCAAAACAGCCTTTAAAAAGATTACTTGTAAGGAGTGCAGCCCAAAACATTCTGTTTAAATGCACTTTTATTATGGAATGCTGCACGCAGGTTCCTATAGGAAGTGAAAACTCTTAAGTATAAAACAGTGTTGGAAAACATTACCAAATCAGAGTACAACACTTCCATTGGAAACAACCGTTTAAGAACATTAACACTACACCCATTAGAAGATCAAACAGCTACCCCCCCCCCCCCCACCCATACACACAAACTTACCACCCTTTTCC